GCCTGCTGGCGCACTCAGCTTGCCCACTGTTAACTTAAATAATTTATATTACGTACTATTTTATGCGGTACGTGACAATATATTTATTTATGGAAAGTGCAAGTCGTAATCTTGAATTTGTTTAATTTTCAGTCCTGTACTTCGTACACTACATCGTAACAAACTTTTTGAAAAAAAAAAAATAATAATTTTGGTTCCCGCACATGCTAGGACAACTTTTTTTTTTAACATCTAAAAGCAATTTTACCGTTACAGTCGTACAGAATGCATTAATCAATATTGATTTTCGAGAAAGTTGTCTAGTTTTATACGTCAGTCTAAAACTAGTATATCTGAAAAAATTGTTGTAAAAACAGTTATAATTAATGTTTTACATAAAATTTGAACGGGACGTTCAGTTCAAATACTTTTTTAATTTTTTTGACTTGGTGTGACCAGCGAAAGCCATCTGTGAGAAAGTTGGCTTATTTTGCTATCAAGGCAACGAAGAAAAATCTTAGAAGTAATTACTCGTAAGATAAAACACTGATCTGGCAGAAATTTCATAACCATGTTATAGTTAGCAAAGATACTTTTCGCCATGAATTTTCACCCCCGAAGCTTCGCAGTTTTTAAAAAAATGTACAAAAAAAATTATTTTGTTAATTTTTAACGTGGTATTAGAAAAAATGCCTTGTAGGTATTGCCAAAGCACATTTTTTGCGAATTTCATAATGAGTAACTTGTCGGAACATATGTATCTCGTATGTTCTCAAAAAACCAGTTACGGCAAAAACTGACAAAGAGCGTTTTTTACCAAATGTTAATTATAAAATTTAGCACACCTTTTCTAGTGGACGGATCTCAATAATAATATTCTACGACAAAAAATACATAAAAATCAGTAGAAAATAAAACTATACCTCAAAAGTTTGCCTTGTAATCCCTGAGAACTGACCTACTAGAGCACATGTAGGTGGGGCTACTCACTGTGCACGCTTACCTGTGTCAGTGTATAAGTCAAATGATATTTTTTGACCACTTATTTATAACTACCAAAGACTAAGATGAATGACAGATTAGTCAATTCATTAGTTTACACATGATGACTTGAAATACTAATTATTAGTTTATCAACATAATTCAAAATTTAATTCTTTTTTCTAAATACAACCTTTTGCCCGTCAAAAGCATTTTTTATGTAACTAACATGAGACAGCTATTTTCAACCTACGTTACAGTTATATATGTTTTATTCGTGTAACTGATTTGCGTGGATATGTATGCCTCGTTATAAATTGACAACTTCATGTAGCATGGATGCTTTTACCTGTTTAATTTACACGTGAGTGAATCTTGCTATGTTGAATATGTCCCTTTAGCGTTTTTATTGAAGGTTATATGTACGCTTGAATTAATATTTATGATTTGTTGATTTGAAGAAGTCGATGCTCGAGTCGACGAAAGGTCGCTTTATAAAAAACGTGTCGTTTTTTATTTGGAAGTTTGATTCAAAAGATCAACCAAAAATAGTCAAATAAATCTTTCAATCATTTAAAAAAAATTTCCTACGCTGATAATAGCACAATCCGGCAACGACATAGATCAACACACGAATACTAGCTAGGACATATATTAAAACATTTTAAAGCGTCAAAGTATAAGCGTCATTTTTCATCTTGAGACTTTCAATGAGGATAGAGAAATAAGTGACCTAATACCATGTATTAATATAAGAAGCGTCGATGGAAAACATGAAGAAATAGAATTTCTTATCAAAAGACTCGAGATAGAACTATTATTGATAGTTGGCGCTAAATCGTGGAATCTTAATGATTATCAATATTTCAAAATAAAGAGAATACACTCTTAATAATAAAAATCAATAATTCTGATGGCGTGATTGTATATATTAAAGACAATATCCAAAATCATACCACAATAATTGAAATAGATTAACTTAAGGTATTACACACATGCTTAAAACTTCATGATAGTACTATGATTAAAATCTCCGCAGTATACAGATATCACGATTTTCTAGACACTGAATTTATTCTAAATTTAAAAAAAATATTTGCAAAAAAAATATGCAGGAAACCATTTATTCTTTACAGATTTTAATTAAAATATAAGAAAATCTAATGCCCAGACTAAAGATTTTCTTACCAGCTTAAAGCAAAGTAGATACTATTCGGGTTTCACTAGTACAATCAGGCCATCAAATTTTAATAAAACTGTATCATGCAGTAATAATAATTTCATAAAAACTGACACTGTAAAAGCTCTAATTCATTCATTAGACATTCCTACACTCAATCATTTTCCATGATTTGTTGAAATAAACAGAGCCCGAAATTAAATGTCAAAAACTATGCATTTCATTACAATTATAATAACCTTACTTCAAAAGCTAAAACTATCAAATATAAAGCGTATAGTTGATACGAAAGAGAAAAAGCACAGTGTTATAAAAAGAAAAACAAGGACTACTTGAACAATAATGACATTTTGCCAATGAAAATAGATATTGTACAATAAAATAAGAAATAACAAAGACAATAAACATTTTAAAATAGAGTACAAAAATTATGTTGAAGTCATGAACTAAACATCAAATGACGCAAAAATCAAACTTAAAAAAAAATATTGATTTAAATTGGAAAAATACAAAGCAATCATGGAATCTATAAATTCAAAAGTCAGCAAAAAAATTAACAGATAACAATAGCGCAATGAAGAGTAACTATGACAATAACAGAAATCGATTACACCATAGAACAGAAAAAGCAAACATTTCAATAAATACTTCCGTAACACAGGTAAAGATTTAAGCAATAAGATCTTTAAACTGTTGTATGTAATAAGATATCTACCTCCAACGAACAAAAAAACAATTTTTACAATACCTGCCAATACACATAAAGTACAAACTGTAATACGCAGACTAATAGAAATATTGAGGTAGATGGAATAAATTGTAAGGTACTAAAATTACTGTCAGATTAGAAATGGTAACCTTATAGCTCACATATATAAGTTTATTTCGTTGATCTTCTGGGGTAAATGAAAACACTTAGTTTAAGCGACGTTTCGTCAAGCAGGCCTTTGCCAGTTTGACTTGCGTGTGAGCCATTTGCTCGATACGTTAAATAAATTGTCTTTCACGGTTTAAATTAAGCCTGAAGAGGTCGGCACATCAGTCGACGAAACGTCGCTTAAACTAAGTGTTGTCATTTGCCCCAGAAGATCAACGAAATAAACATACATATATATATATATATATATATATATATATATATATATATAATATGGAGGGCGAGAAAGACTCAAATATTCTTATAGCTCATATTTTTAATTAATGTATTAAACAATTAACATGGCCTTGTGCCTCAAAAGAATTTGAAATTACACCTAATTGCAAATCTGAAAGCTAGCAAGACGCTGCGAAGTGTATACCAATTACACGATATCAAACTTTGCATAGATATTTGAAAAATTACATTTCATTGCAGTTTTTCAACTTGTTTATTAAAAAATGAGGCATTAACTTGTTACCAATTTAGATTTATAAAAACTGAAGTAACCAAAGATGCATTTGAAAATATTGTTAAATTTTTTACGATATATTAGACAAAAGTAAGGCACAGCAATATCGTTTATAAATCTAGCAAAAGCTTTTGATATGGTTAGTTATAACACCCTGTTAGAAAATTCAAACAGCTATGGTATTAGAGGTATGCCTGGCACAAATACTTATAAGAAGCTTCTTAAGGAACAGGAATAAAATGGAAGAATAAAGCGAGCCATAAGTGCCTTAAACACATTAAGTTTTAGGGCTCCGCAAGGAACTATTTTAAGTCCATTAATAATTACTATTTACAATTATTAATTTTTCATCTTTATGACACATGGCTCTATTTTGTGTTACACTGACGATACGGCTATTATTTTAACAAAAGTTACTTGGGATGAAGTTGAAAATAAAATGAATCAACACCTTAACCTTACAGCTAACTGACTAGCATTTAACGAACTATTTTAAAACATAGAAAAAACAACATTTATGACTTGTGAGAACTACTCTGATTATCTACCAAGAATTATTAAGATTACAATAAAAGATCGTAAAAAGAGTAGAATATCCTAAGTACTTAGGATTAATTTTTAATTACAACTAAATATGAGACAAACATGTTGAACACCATCCATGACAAGTTTTACCAAGGTCACTCATTTTTCAGATAAAACTACTGCAATGTATTCTAGATTGAGTCTTTATCGGTAAAAATAATCGAAACAAAATGAGAAGTGTAATCTCAACTTAGTATGGAGATACGTATTGAAGAATTAGAAAGTAAATTTAATTTTTTTTTTTCGAATTGAATTTTATTTTTTTCCTACATTGCATCGGCCTGCAAACAGGTAAAGGCATGACCTTTGCAGAATTGTAATTGTTAATTTATCATCATGACTTTTGTTTTATATCCCTTGTATATTCTGATCAAAATGAATAATCAAATGATTGATTTTCAAATTAACAAATTAATAAAAAATACATATGTAATTTTTAACATTATTTTTGAAAGTTTTGATTAGAAGAATACTTCATTAACGAAATTAATAAATGTACAGTTAATAAATATTAGAATTGAAAACAAGTTTTAAACGATATTATAAAAGGAAATGAGAGTAGACTACCTCTTCAAGATAGCTCGTGAATAAATGAGTACGGTGCTATATTGGCAAGCATGAGGTTGTGAGTTAGGTCTAATTGAAAGTATTTTTTTTTCTTTTTCTTTTGCAGAAAATTAAAATTAAAAAATGTATTTTTGTTGCATATTTTTTGAGGCTGAAAAGTTTTAAATCATTAATTTACTCTTTTGCGTATCGAAACCTGTTCTTAATTTGTCCTCCAAAAGAAAATGTTTAATAATAATTGAATAGTTCATAAAAAATGGTATAATTCTTTTAGTTAAAGAATTTAGAATTTTAATATTTTTTTTATTTTATTTTTACAGTCTACTTATAGGCGCATTATAGCAATATTTGAAAATGCGACTCAGCTGGTATCTTTAGCCAACATATTTAGTGATAATGAATGTTTTGAAGAAGTAGCTACGGATAATTTAAAATATTTCTTATTACCAGCGCTGCTAGGAAGTCTTTCAACAAAAATCACTGATTTTAAAAATCGCTTAAGCAATTTAAGTGCAGCAGAAATTTATTTCATTGATTTCTTGAAAAGGTTAAAGTCATACCAACTTAATGATATAAACTTTTCAAAATTAGAAAATTGTCAAAACAATGAAGATGAACAAGAATCACGCAGAATCTCTAATTTGGAATGTATTACCCACATGGTAAGTATTTATTATTGTTTGCATAAATGAATTTTGTACATATTATATTTGTAACTATTAAAAAGGCTCAGTATATTTGTAACAAATAAAGAAAATTACACTAAACTTTGTACGTAAACTGTAGAATCTACATGTGATTTTAGTGCGATTCTCACAAATCATAGCCTAAGTTTAATGCAGTTGCCATTAAAAATTTGCAGGTGGGTTTCGATATTGATTTGTGTATTTTTAAGTACACTTTGAAATCCTTGGTTACATAATTATTGTATTTTCAAAATAGAAATTACTCAATTTACTGAATATATTTTTAACAATACAATGGAACCAATTTCTAACAAAGATTAAGTTGAATCAGTGATTATGGTTATACTTCCAAGTCTTATATTCAGCTAGTAAACGATCTTCTTAGTAAATTAATTATGGACTTTTTCGTCGTATTTTCTTTACTCTCAAATATATCTGAACAGTATTGTTTAGTCATTCTTTCTTATTAAAATCGAAAATTAAATTAAAAAAAAACATTTTAAAATACAACTTGATTTACACTTTTTTTATGCCAGTAAGAGTTTAAGTTTAATTATAAAAAAAACTTGATATAGAATGAATTCGCGATTTAATTGAAAGATTTGTAAAGAGTAAGTTAGAATTAGCACGACAGTATAATTGAGAATTAGCGTCAGCGCATTACTGATATACAGTTACAATAAGAAAGAGAGGATATTCCTCTTTTTTCTCTTTTTTGTTTTTCTAGCATTGAGACTCGCCGCTGTATAGGAGTTTGTATTTTTTCTGTCTCTCTTTTTCTTTTATGTACAAGTTTTGCATTGTGTACAAATACATGTAGTCTTAAAAAGAGAACAGCAGATGGGCTGCTGTGCAAGAGTGGCGTTGAAGAGCTCATTAGCGGAACGGAAAGTGCGCCTTTCAAATGTCTGGAACTTAGGTACCCATAGCTTACGCCCAGTAATATTAAATCGAAGCCCGTGGATCTATATAACCCAGTGCGCACAACATTTTAGTCAATATAAATAATTTAAGATGATACATAGAGTGACCCTGTGAATTAAGCAATTGGTACCATATAACTCAGTTTTAGCGTTCTCAAGTATCTGTTATTTTTTTTTAATGATATAATTATCTGAATAACAAGCACTTGCATACATGTTAATCAGCCTAATTACGTGCCCATCTTTTCTCAATCGATGAAAAATTGTTAGTTAATACTAATAAAATGCTAAAAAAAATTTCATACTAATGAAAAGTTTTAATTCTACATGTTATTCGAATTGTGTATGTTCTTAGTTCACCAACTGACCTACAGATGGCGTGAGTCACATCAAAAGAAATTGACCGTGTAAAAAGCAGTCGTTGGCTCAGTGGTTAGCATGCTAGCTTCAAAAACAACACCGTTCAAAGGGTCGTTAGTTCGATTCCTGGTCGGAGCACTCAGATTTTTTTCTGTGAATTCTCCTCGAGAAAATAATTAATTACTTTAAACAATGCGTATGCGCAAAAAAAATGGTTTTGAGATGAGAAAAAAAAAATTTTAACGACACTTCTTGCGCAGTACTTTCTTCAAGTGATTTTCCGTGTTCCGAAAAAGTTATGTTTCGATTTGTTAAAACAGTAATTGTTTGTACATTTGTACAAGTTTTTTAATAGCATGAAAGACATAAGTGCATTAAATGTAAACCATGCTTTTTTACAGCCACACGGACTTACAACCATTGATGCAACGGCATAATTTTTTTTTTTTTTTTTTAGAATATAAGACGGCAGTACCATTTTGGAAGAGTATACTAGCCTTTATCTATGGACGTAGTTCTCCAGCCCCAATTATTATTATTATTTTTTTTTTAATACCTAATCACCTTTGAACTTGTAAGTCAATCCTGTTTGCTTCGTGCAGTTATTTAAAACAACGCTACCTGCAGGGGAAAGATGTCGATGCTAACTAACAAGAATACACAGCATCATATAGACAATGATAGATTTCAATTGTTTATATCAACAATAATAAATATTTAACTACTATAATAAGTTTTTCAGTTCCAAGTATCATATTAATAGCAAATGATACTTTTTTTTTAATTTCATGAAAAAAAAGTAAATTTCTTGTATGAAATGGATATAATATACAAGTAAACACAAAAATACTACTTTTTAATGTGCTGATTTAAAAGTATTTCACGAAGTAAATTAATATTCGAAAAAAATCGTAATAGTCACTAACAAAATACAACCATGAAAGAAAAAAAAAATTTTTCTTATGAAAGTACTATTAAATAAGTATTTCTCGGTTTCAAAGTATACTCAACATCCAAAAAATTACGTCAGTTGTTGAATATACATTACTGTTAAATTGAACGCCTGTAACAGATCATTGTCCATAACATGCTGTGTATTCTTGTTAGTTAGCATCGGCAACTTTTCCCTTGCAGGTAGCGTTGTTTCGAATTGCTGCACGAAGCGAATAACAGTATTGCAAAGGTGCCTCTTTAGTTGGCTAGAGATCGTAATAAGATAGAAGAGCGATACGAATATCCTACAAAAAAGCTAAATGCTAAAAGTTACGTGATTCTAAGACGAAAAAAAAAACCACGTTAAGCTCCGATTCATTAAGCCGTTTTCTCGAAAATTGCAAAAAACTGTCTTTTTTAGCCATTTAAAAAAATTTAATAACTCGCATTCTAATAAATATTAAAAGCTTAAATTTAGACACAAGGTAGATATCATAGCCTTTAACATACACATTTAATTTCAGCAAGATTGGTTGTAAACTTTTCGTGAACCAAATGCCGATTCATTTAACCAGAAGTGAGTATGTTAAACTTTATCGGTAAAAAGTGGTCTTTCATGCTGGGCGCACTTGGCTGGGTTATAGTGGGGTGGTGACGGCTTACCCAACTAAGCCACTTAAGTGAGCTGCCGCCACCTTACTACCCAGCTAAGTGCGCCGAACGCGAAAAACTACTTTTCAATAAAGTTTAAAATACTCGCTGTTAAGGGCTATGATACTTACCTTGTTTCAAATTTGAACTCGAAATATGCATGAAAACACACGTGGAAGAATTTTCAAAAATGGCTACAAACGACAGTTTCTTACAATTTTCGAGAAATCAGCTCAATCGATTAAAGCTCAACGTAGCTTATTATTCTCGTCTTAGAATAGCGCAACTTTTTTTCATTTAACTTTTCTGCGTACGATTTTTAGTTTCTTGTCTAGGCGCAAAAAATCTGTTTTTTTGGGCTTGTGCTAAATTTTCCAGTTGTTCGAAAGCGGTACAATTTGCTATAAACACGAAAAACTAGCGATAATACTTTTTTAATGCTACTATTAACTTTCCGAAGTTTCAATTGATTTAAAGCTAATTTTATCATACTATGAGTTTTGGTGTGTCTGAGGACGAGTCGTGAACTGCGAAGAAGTTTTGAATTAAATCAATATCTGAAATTTCGCGATTTATCCTTTTACAGGAACGATGTACATGTTAGTGTGAACTTAAGTACGTCTATAGTGAGTAAGTCATCGCCTCTAGAGAGTGTTTAGTTCTCATTAGAAATTTTATTACTGTATAAGGGAAAACTACTGACCAAAATGTATTATTACGACCAACTGTGAAGTGTCCCCGTTGTAAAATTTTACTTCATCCATGTGAATGTGTTGATTTATCATGCCCTGTTTATACAGGTTTTCTCACTTTGCACAAATGTGACTTGTTCGTGGGAGTATGGCAAAGTAGGTAGGCTAGGCTAGTTCTGGCTCAAACTTGGAGTGAGATACCACGTAGAGCGCATACTGCGTACTTGATGAATGTGTATGTTTATATACGGGGTGTTCTGATTTTGAGCCCGAAAAACGAGATAAACGAGATAAAGCTCATCAAAAGCTCTCGAAAAGCTTTTTACACAATTTGGATTCGATGGATCATTAACGAGATATTGTTGATTCAATAATCGATCAACTACTCCAATCACATAGCACTTAGCCTCAGGAGGTGGGGCCTAAGCATTGTGGAGGGGTGACTACGCCGAGCTAATCTCTTTTACGGAGAAGGTGGTAATAGGTATGCCAGGAGACAAGGTTACCGACTGCAGAGATTTGATCAGTTACCGTACCACCGCAAAATTTAAATAGCAAGGCCGAAGTGTTTTAACCGGAGATCTGATTTTTGAGAAATGATTACGCACGTCCACTACGCTTATTCAGTGCATATTTTTTTCTCAGTAAATTTCACAGAGAAACAATTCAATTCAAATTTTTTTGAACATGCATCGCCTGATAAAAAAAACCAGAATGTGAGAGGGTCTCATGCGTTGAGCTCGAATACTCAGTAAAACTCTTGATCTTTTAACGTTGAACTACTTGGAGATAAAATTTTAATTTTTTGTATACTGCAGAAGAAGCTCATTTCACGCATTTACTTGGTCAAATTTTTTTATTTTATCAAACTTTTTAGTCTGATTTACGAAAATAAAAAAAATAAAAAATAATAAATAAAATTACGATTAAGCAAGACATGAGCGTTTATGGGGCACACATCTCTAACGTGTTAGATCTTACTAAAAAAGGATCAGCATTTAATCCATACAAAGCTCTATAGTCTGAAAAATTACAAGTAAATTTAGAAACGCAAGAAAATCTCACGCGTTAAGCGCGATTGCTCAGCGCGAATAATTATGCTTGTTTTTCAATCAGCGTGTCGATAGGTCTTGAACCTCTTGGTCACTGGAGTACCACATGACGAATAAATGAAAAAAAGCTTAAAAAACCGTGCATCGAGCTAGTTCATTTATCAAAAATCTTCTAAATCTAGAGCTTTAATTATCTAGTTTTAAAACATAACTATTTTTATGCCTTCCAACGTTGTAAGCACTAAAAGTTCAAGTAGGCGGAAAGGTCCAACATGGTGAGAGTAATTGACTGGCAGAAGCCCCAATTTTCATTCCGCCTGTCCGCCTACTTGAACGGAAAAGTGATTTAAATAAAAATTAACAGT